ATAAATGACCCAAATCCACAGGGGGATACGAAAGGAACAATAGCCCTTAATATACAAATGACAGTGGTTTAGTGCAAAGTAAAGTGTCCATAGTTCATATATCTAAGAAGTGCAGGTGAATCACAGCACACTCCAAACGTGATCCCAGGCAGTCTTGCTGCAAATGGCCTCTCACCTCCACTCTATGACCCCACAGGGCCATAAAGCATAGTGTAGATCACCTCAGGACCCTCCAATCCAGTAGCTCCTTAGATAAGATGGCATCACATGAACAGGGACAATATTCATCCAGACCAGTGGGCAAACGGAAAGCTCTCCTCCGATGTCACAACCGCTCATAGGCTCATAAATGAGGAGATAAACACAATCCTCATAGTGTATTACCGCTTTAATGGCAAATGGGCAGCAAACAACCGAGAAGAAGGAGATAATCCACTTACATAGCAACAGCCTGTGTACGGATGGTATCAATATGCTGGGTGTACAGCAAGATCACAAAGGTGCACCAAGATGGCGTCACGCCGGAAGTACGTCACCACGCTAATGCCGTCGACGCGTTGCGTCACGTAACTCGTGACTTCATCAGGACAGCGTGATTGGCCAGCAGTACTTCTTTATAAAGGCCAGAAACCGCACCAATCCAAACTAATGGGCGGTGCGATCGCGGCCATGTTCTAGTGGTCCAGTATGCAAAGACCTATACAGCCATGTTATTGTGGTCCAATATATACAGACCTTCTCCCATTAGGTCTAGCGATCCCAATAGGGTAACAAAGCTTAAAATGAAAGGCACCACACAACTAATATATCTCAATAGTGAGCACATTAATCGTGGGAAGACTAATTCAAATTAGATGTGGAAAACCACATACTTTAATAAAAAATATGAAGATAAAATCATACGAGCATGTCCATATAATTATATATAACATGCCCTATATTAATAGATAATAAAATATCATAAAAGGTCATAGAGTAATATATAAAAATATATGTATATGAACCAAATTTTTTTAAAAAGCTCCTTTGTAATCATGCATGAACTCTATACTTCAAATACTATAACACACAATACACCAACATAGGAAATTTATCGGTCCCTGATAAAAAGTTCAAGTCGAACTCAATATTGAGTCCCATAGGAACAAATGTATCCATAAGAAAAATATATTTAGATTCTGTCTGACTCAAAGATCTCACTTTATGGGTCCCTCTCCAGTGTTTCTTGTATTTTTCGACGTACTTCCGGCGTGATGCCATCTTGGTGCACCTTTGTGATCTTGCTGTACACCCAGCATATTGATACCATCCGTACACAGGCTGTTGCTATGTAAGTGGATTATCTTCTTCTTCTCGGTTGTTTGCTGCCCATTTGCCATTAAAGCGGTAATACACTATGAGGATTGTGTTTATCTCCTCATTTATGAGCCTATGAGCGGGTTGTGACATCGGAGGAGAGCTTTCCGTTTGCCCACTGGTCTGGATGAATATTGTCCCTGTTCATGTGATGCCATCTTATCTAAGGAGCTACTGGATTGGAGGGTCCTGAGGTGATCTACACTATGCTTTATGGCCCTGTGGGGTCATAGAGTGGAGGTGAGAGGCCATTGCAGCAAGACTGCCTGGGATCACGTTTGGAGTGTGCTGTGATTCACCTGCACTTCTTAGATATATGAACTATGGACACTTTACTTTGCACTAAACCACTGTCATTTGTATATTAAGGGCTATTGTTCCTTTCGTATCCCCTGTGGATTTGGGTCATTTATATATATTTATATATTTAGATGCTGTATTCTGTTCATATATACAGTTTTTTATTTTCTAGCGCTGCATCATTTTACATTCATCTTGTATCTCCATCATGTGAAAACTCTTGTGTCTCCATCGCATGAAAACTCTTGTGTCTCCATCGCATGAAAACTCTTGTGTCTCCATCGCGTGAAAACTCTTGTGTCTCCATCGCGTGAAAAGTCTTGTGTCTCCATCACGTGAAAACTCTTGTGTCTCCACCACGTAAAATCTCATGTGTCTCCACCGCGTGAAAACTCTTGTGTCTCCACCATGTGGAGAATATCGGAAGGAACATTATCTGTAAATACTGCAAGAGTTGTTTGCATTGAGGGAAAGTGTAGATGTGGTGGATTTTCACCTGGTGGAGATAAGTTTTGGCCAGGCCTTTTTTTTTCTCAGAGAATATGTGCAGGAACTCCCCACTTCTAAAATGGTTCCACCTCTGAGCACTGTCTAATGGTTCCACCTCTGAGCACTATCTAATGGTTCCACCTCTGAGCACTGTCTAATGGTTCCACCTCTGAGCACTGTCTAATGGTTCCACCTCTGAGCACTGTCTAATGGTTCCACCTCTGAGCACTGTCTAATGGTTCCACCCCCTACCCACCTCTGAGCACTGTCTAATGGTTCCACCTCTGAGCACTGTCAATGGTTCCACCCCCTACCCACCTCTGAGCACTGTCTAATGGTTCCACCTCTGAGAACTGTCTAATGGTTCCACCTCTGAGAACTGTCTAATGGTTCCACTTCTGAGCACTGTCTAATGGTTCCACCTCTGAGAACTGTCTAATGGTTCCACCTCTGAGCACTGTCTAATGGTTCCACCTCTGAGAACTGTCTAATGGTTCCACCTCTGAGCACTGTCTAATGGTTCCACCTCGGAGCACTGTCTAATGGTTCCACCTCTGAGCACTGTCTAATGATCCCACCTCTGAGCACTGTCTAATGGTTCCACCTCTGAGAACTGTCTAATGGTTCCACTTCTGAGCACTGTCTAATGGTTCCACCTCTGAGAACTGTCTAATGGTTCCACCTCTGAGCACTGTCTAATGGTTCCACCTCTGAGAACTGTCTAATGGTTCCACCTCTGAGCACTGTCTAATGGTTCCACCTCGGAGCACTGTCTAATGGTTCCACCTCTGAGCACTGTCTAATGGTTCCACCACTGAGCACTGTCTAATGGTTCCACCTCTGAGCACTGTCTAATGGTTCCACCTCTGAGCACTGTCTAATGGTTCCACCTCTGAGCACTGTCTAATGGTTCCAGCCCCCTACCCACCTCCCAGTTTTTAGAGAATGCAGTGCCAAGTGTCATTCTGTGGTGATCAGTTATTTGTATGGACTTTGTTAATGATAACAAAAAAAGCAGTAAAATAGATCCCCTGCAGCAGTCAGCAATAGACATGCCCCCAGCATCAATGGACCCCCGGAACAAAATACCACCCTAGCAACAACATACCCCCAGCAGCAGCAACAGATCTCACAGAAGCCAGCATCAATACACTCTCCAGCAGCAACAAACCTCTCCTTCAACAGTAGTTCCCTTCCAGCAACAATTTACCCCCAACAACAACAACAGATCCCCACCAGCAACAATAGGCCTCCCAAGCAACAATAGATCCCCCACCAGCGACAATAGACCTCTCCAGCAACAATAGATCCCCTGCCAGCAACAATAGACCAGCATGCAAAAATAGATCTCCCACCAGCAACAATAGACCTCCCCAGCAACAATATATCCCCCATCAGCAAAAACAGACCTCCCCAGCAACAATAGACCTCCCAGCAACAATAGACCTCCACAGCAACAATAGATCCCCCAACAGCAACAATAGGCCACCATGCAAAAACAGATCCCCTCCAGTGAGAATAGATTCCCCAGTAGCCAGCATCAATAGACTCCCCAGCAGCCATCAACAATAGATCTCCCCAGCAACAACAGATCCCCCACCACCAACAATAGGCCTCCTCGGCAACAATAGATCTCCCACCCAGTCCAGCAGCAACAATAGATAGACTGCCATGTAAAAATAGATCCCCTCCAGTGACAACAGATCCCCCACCACCAACAATAGGCCTCCTCGGCAACAATAGATCTCCCACCAGCAACAATAGACTGCCATGCAAAAATAGATCCCCGCCAGTGACAATAGATCCCCCAGCAGCCAGCATTGATAGACCTTCCAGCACCCCTTGTCATTATATACATTCAGTGCTGGAGGTGCTGGAACTGCGTTCCGGCTGAAGAAAAGCTCTGAGTTTGGCACACATTTTTGTTTTCTATTTCATCTCTATCAGCTCATATGTTTTCTATGACTACACTATACAGTATGCGGTTTATGGGGGTTTTTACATGGTGGGAGAGATATGAAGTGGAATGACACTGAACACAGACACTCAGGAGGACACAAGTGTATTGATTGGAAGGCTTTTAGTCTCTTCATTGTCTGGTGAGAGCAGGAGAGGAACACAGTAACTGCTACCCTCACCGGACACTTTATTAGGTACACCATGGCTGGGTAATACAAATCGCTAATCAGCCAATCACATGGCAGCAACTCAATGTATTTATGCATCTAGACGTGGTGAAGACGACTTGCTGAAGTTCAAACTGAGCATCACAATGGACCCACATTCACTATATCCGCTTTCCCCGGACCCTGCATTCACTATATCCGCTCTCCCCGGACCCGCATTCACACTATATCCACTCCCCCCGGACCCCGCATTCATTATATCCGCTCTCCCCGGACCCTGCATTCACTATATCCGCTCTCCCCGGACCCTGCATTCACTATATCCGCTCTCCCCGGACCCTGCATTCACTATATCCGCTCTCCCCGGACCCTGCATTCACTATATCCGCTCTCCCCGGACCCCGCATTCACTATATCCGCTCTCCCGGACCCCGCATTCACTATATCCGCTCTCCCCGGACCCCGCATTCACTATATCCAGCTCTCCCCGGACCCTGCATTCACTATATCCGCTCTCCCCGGACCCTGCATTCACTATATCCGCCTCCCCGGACCCTGCATTCACTATATCTGGCCTCCCTGGACCATGCATTCACTATATCTGCTCTCCCCGGACCCCGCATTCACTATATCCGCTCTCCCCGGACCCCGTATTCACTATATCCGCTCTCCCCGGACCCCGCATTCACTATATCCGCTCTCCCCGGACCCCGCATTCACTATATACCCGCTCTCCTCGGACCCTGCATTCACTATAGCCGCTCTCCTCGGACCCTGCATTCACTATATCTGGCCTCCCCGGACCCTGCATTCACTATATCTGGCCTCCCTGGACCCTGCATTCACTATATCTGGCTCTCCCCGGACCCTGCATTCACTATATCCGCTCTCCCCGGACCCTGCATTCACTATATCGCCTCCCCGGACCCTGCATTCACTATATCTGGCCTCCCGGACCATGCATTCACTATATCTGCTCTCCCCGGACCCTGCATTCACTATATCCGCTCTCCCCGGACCCGCATTCACTATATCCGCTGGACCCTGCATTCTCCCCGGACCCCGCATTCACTATATCCGCTCTCCTCGGACCCTGCATTCACTATATCCGCTCTCCCGGACCCTGCATTCACTATATCTGGCTCTCCTGGACCCTGCATTCACTATATCCGCTCTCCTCGAACCCTGCATTCACTATATCCGCTCTCCCCGGACCCTGCATTCACTATATCCGCTCTCCCGGACCCTGCATTCACTATATCCGCTCTCCTCGGACCCTGCATTCACTATATCTGGCCTCCCCGGACCCTGCATTCACTATATCTGGCCTCCCCGGACCCCGCATTCACTATATCTGCTCTCCCGGACCCTGCATTCACTATATCTGGCCTGCATTCACCCGGCCTCCCCCCTGCATTCACTATATCTGGCCTCCCTGGACCATGCATTCACTATATCTGCTCTCCCCGGACCCCGCATTCACTATATCCGCTCTCCCCGGACCCCGCATTCACTATATCCGCTCTCCCCGGACCCCGCATTCACTATATCCGCTCTCCTCGGACCCTGCATTCACTATATCTGGCCTCCCCGGACCCTGCATTCACTATATCCGCTCTCCCCGGACCTGCATTCACTATATCCGCTCTCCCGGACCCTGCATTCACTATATCTGGCCTCCCCGGACCCCGCATTCACTATATCTGGCCTCCCTGGACCCTGCATTCACTATATCTGGCCTCCCGGACCCTGCATTCACTATATCCGCTCTCCTCGGACCCTGCATTCACTATATCTGGCCTCCCCGGACCCTGCATTCACTATATCTGGCCTCCCTGGACCATGCATTCACTATATCTGCTCTCCCCAGACCCTGCATTCACTATATCCGCTCTCCCCGGACCCGCATTCACTATATCCGCTCTCCCCGGACCCCGCATTCACTATATCCGCTCTCCTCGGACCCTGCATTCACTATATCTGACCCCTCCCCGGACCCTGCATTCACTATATCTGCTCTCCCCGGACCCTGCATTCACTATATCTGCTCTCCCCAGACCCTGCATTCACTATATATCCGCTCTCCCGTCTCCCCCCTGCATTCACTTATCCGCTCTCCCCGGACCCTGCATTCACTATATCCGCTCCCCGGACCCTGCATTCACTATATCCGCTCTCCCCGGACCCTGCATTCACTATATCCGGTCTCCCTGGACCCTGCATTCACTATATCCGCTCTCCCCGGACCTGCATTCACTATATCCGCTCTCCCCGGAACCTGCATTCACTATATCCGCTATCCCCGGACCCTGCATTCACTATATGTGGTCTCCCCGGACCCGCATTCACTATATCCGCTCTCCCCGGACCCCGCATTCACTATATCCGCTCTCCTCGGACCCTGCATTCACTATATCTGCTCTCTCCCCGGACCCCGCATTCACTATATGTATCTCGGACCCTGCATTCACTATATCTGCTCCCGGACCCAGCATTCACTGTATCTGCCCTCTCATCCCCGGGCCGGTGGCCAAGGCCAAGGTGGCCAGGTTTACACTCCATCACTCCCGGCATCCAGGCAACCCAGACCGCTATGTGTAGCACATTCAATTTTTTTTTTTTTAATGCATTCAGTAAATGTTTTCTGCTCTGTATAATACACTATGGGGTTGGCGCTGTGGTCTTTGGGCTCCATGTACACTGCAGCTGATAAACTCACGTTTAGGAGCTTTTCTGCGTTTTCAGCAGCTCCTGAACTCTTCCTAATGCTTTCCTATGTGTCCATGTACACAGTCATTTACAGTCGTTTACAGGCAGTTGAGTTTACAGTCGTTTTTTTGAATGCACCAAACTTGCGTTCAGCAGTAGATTTTATCAGTGTTTCAAATGCTTGTAAACGCAGCTAACCGCGTTTAGAAGCGTTTGCGTTTAGAAGCATTTTCTAACAGTTCCATGACCAGATGCTGTCCGGAGCCTTTTTTCATCATCAGAAATGCATACAAAGCGTTTCCCATGTATTCAAATGGACCCCGGCCACCAGCGCAGTCAGTTCCAGGTTTGGCGTGAAGGAAACAATGGTAGAACGCGCCGCGTTATGTGAACGATGGGATCCATAGTGACTACAACCAGAAAAGACAGCTCATCTCTATCAGTGGTGTGTTTAGGTTTTGCGCTGCCCTAGGCAACACAAAAATCCCCCCCCCCCCCCCCCCCCTTCACGGAGAGACACTGACAATGACCAACACCTCCCTCCCCCATGAAGAGAGCCTGACATTGACCAACAACACCCCAGCCCCCCACCCCCACCTGAGAGAGCCTTTTACTACCACGGCCCCCCATACACTGGCAATCCCCCACCCCGGGAAGAGATAAGACACTCAGCTTCACAGCTCCGGAAGGCCCCGGGAACAAGAGTCGGGCTCTGCATACACCATCAAGCAGCCCACAGCCTCTCGCAGATCCCACCTGGTCCCTGTGCTGTGTGTTTCCCTTCTTCCATCCCTTCTTTCAGGGGGCGGTGCTGCCCCCCTGAGACATGCTGCTGCCCCCCTGAAAAATGCCGCCCTAGGCAAATGCCTTGTTTGCCTTGTGGTAAATACACCCCTGATCTCAACACATACTGCTCTCTCTGCTTCTGCTCTCTCTATTTCTCTCAAAATGTCAGAAATAGTTAATTATTTACTGTTTTTCAGTGCATTCTGGGCATTTGGGAAGGTTTCCTGAGTTTATCTTTTAAAAACGCTTCTGAACGCAAACGCAGATAAACGCAGTATGCAAACGCAGCTAAACTGACGTTTTTAACCTACGTTTTCCAGCAGTCAGTTTCCATCGTTCAGAAGAGTTTCACAAACGCCCCGTGTACATGAGCCCAGGGGCGGACTGACCATTTGGAAACTCAGGCACTGCCCAAGGGCCCGGGGTCAGTAGGGGACCCCATGAGATGCCCCTGGTACCTTTTTCATAGGCTTTTTTGAGTTTGGGCAAGATCACAGGGGCCCCATGATCCCCTATTGCCCGGGGGCCCCATGAGTTGTCAGTCCGCCCCTGCATGAGCCCTCTCCTTTTGTCTACCTCTGTGATTGGAAGGTATACTTCGCTTGGTGCAAGGAAGGAAACTTTCATCCTAGAACATGCTCCATGGAATGAATCCTGATCTTTCTACAATCAAGCCTGGATCAACAATTGGTCCTGAGTACTACTGAGAATCATACCTCAGTGTTTGCGATTTTTTTCCAAAAACTGCAAATCACTCATTTATTGAATAAATCCTTCATATGGGGGGTTTCATGTGAGGCGCCATCTGTAGTGACCAGATGTGTCTCTTTGCGATTTAAATTTTGTTCTCTCAGCACATCAAGAACTGTTCTTTCATCCGATCAGCAATTTCCCCTTTTGGTTTTCCTTGTTGCCATCACCTCTGAGAGGCGTGTGCCTGAACTGGCGGCTTTGAGCTCTGAAGAACATGGATGTTCTGGTACTACACAAGGACAAGGTGGGATTAAGGCCTGGAGCCCAGTTCAATGCCAAGGGTATGTCGGCCTTCACCTTTCCATTCAAGGGCTGGATGGAGTTCAAACTGTTCATGTCTACCTCACGGCCACTGACAAAGTGATTGACGCACTCCTTGTCATCCCTGGTGGTCCCCATAATGGGGTCAGCTTCTTCTTCTCTACCATCTTTTAATGGCTCAGATGTTATAACATCGCTTTCCTACAACCTGGACACCCCAACATCACTTTTGCCTGCAAGCTGTACACCCCAACATCGCTTTCCTGCAAGCTGTACACCCCAGCATCGCTTTCCTGCAAGCTGTACACCCATAACATCGCTTTCCTGCAAGCTGTACACCATAACATTGCTTTCCTGCAAGCTGTACACCCCAGCATCGCTTTCCTGCAAGCTGTACACCCCAGCATCGCTTTCCTGCAAGCTGTACACCCCAACATCGCTTTCCTGCAAGCTGTACACCCCAGCATCGCTTTCCTGCAAGCTGTACACCCCAACATCGCTTTCCTGCAAGCTGTCCCCCCAGCATCGCTTTCCTGCAAGCTGTACACCCCAACATCGCTTTCCTGCAAGCTGTACACCCCAGCATCGCTTTCCTACAACCTGGACACCCCAACATCACTTTCCTGCAAGCTGTACACCCCAGCATCGCTTTCCTGCAAGCTGTACACCCCAGCATCGCTTTCCTGCAAGCTGTACACCCCAACATCGCTTTCCTGCAAGCTGTACACCCCAGCATCGCTTTCCTACAACCTGGACACCCCAACATCACTTTCCTGCAAGCTGTACACCCCAACATCGCTTTCCTGCAAGCTGTACACCCCAGTATCGCTTTCCTGCAAGCTGTACACCATAACATCGCTTTCCTGCATGCAAGCTGTACACCATAACATTGCTTTCCTGCAAGCTGTACACCCCAACATCGCTTTCCTGCAAGCTGTACACCCCAGCATCGCTTTCCTGCAAGCTGTACACCCCAACATCGCTTTCCTGCAAGCTGTACACCATAACATCGCTTTCCTGCAAGCTGTACACCCCAACATCACTTTCCTGCAAGCTGTACACCCCAACATTGCTTTCCTGCAAGCTGTACACCCCAGCATCGCTTTTCTGCAAGCTGTACACCCCAACATCGCTTTCCTGCAAGCTGTACACCCCAACATCGCTTTCCTGCAAGCTGTACACCCCAGCATCGCTTTCCTGCAAGCTGTACACCCCAACATCGCTTTCCTGCAAGCAGTGCACCCCAACATCGCTTTCCTGCAATCTGTACACCCCAACATCACTTTCCTGCAATCTGTACACCCCAACATCGCTTTCCTGCAAGCTGTACACCCCGACATCGCTTTCCTACAACCTGGACACACCCCAATATCGCTTTCCTGAAAGCTGTATGCCCCAGCATCGCTTTCCTGCAAGTTGTACACCCCAACATTGCTTTCCTGCAAGCTGTACACCCCAACATCGCTTTCCTGCACATTGTACGCTCTAACGTTGATTTCCCTCACACTGTATAGTATTGCCTCCCCATGTTGTGTACATGTTTTGCTGCACAGTGTACATTGTGACATCGTCTCCCCGTGCTACGTACATTTCTGACATTCCATTCTCACATTTTTTATTGTTATTTTGAAAGCTGCTTTTCTCATATGCTGTACATTATTCTGTTACTTTCTAACACGCTGTACTTTCAAACATTGCTTTCCCATACATCATACATTGCTCACCCTTTACAGACTCTAGCACTAGCACCCTGTCCATTCTAACATTGCTTTCCCATACATCATACATTGCTCACCCTTTACAGACTCTAGCACTAGCACCCTGTCCATTCTAACATTGCTTTCCCATACATCATACATTGCTCACCCTTTACAGACTCTAGCACTAGCACCCTGTCCATTCTAACATTGCTTTCACATACACCATACATTGCTCACCCTTTACAGACTCTAGCACTAGCACCCTGTCCATTCTAACATTGCTTTCACATACATCATACATTGCTCACCTTTACAGACTCTAGCACTAGCACCCTGTCCATTCTAACATTGCTTTCACATACATCATACATTGCTCACCCTTTACAGACTCTAGCACTAGCACCCTGTCCATTCTAACATTGCTTTCACATACATCATACATTGCTCACCCTTTACAGAGTCTGGCACTAGCACCCTGTCCATTCTAACATTGCTATTCCATACATCATACATTGCTCACCCTTTGCAGACTCTAGCACTAGCACCCTGTCCATTCTAACATTGCTTTCACATACATCATACATTGCTCACCCTTTACAGACTCTAGCACTAGCACCCTGTCCATTCTAACATTGCTTTCCCATACATCATACATTGCTCT